AACAGTTTGGATAGAATGATTCAGTACAAACAAATATAGATATTAGTGTCAGAAAGCACTGAATTTCAATTTATTTAACAAAAATCTACTAGTCCTCCTCCATGTTAATGATTAAATAATAAATTGTGGCGAAATTGAAGTCGGTAGTATCATAAAAAATCATAAGGATTCAACCTATCAAAATTCATTCGAGTAAAACAAAGAACGTGAAGTTGAAGAAAGAGAAGATGATAAGAGTTTTAAGAATATTCAAAAGTATATTGCCAATACTGAGACCATACATATTGGTTAGTGGAAAGGGAGTAACTGTTAAAAACCCTATGACTATTGATGTAGTTGCAAGATAAGAACCCATTATCCTACAAACCACCCATGTTACATAGTGTTATCAGTGTTCAAACCTCACTGACTAGTCCCAAATATCAAGTCAGATAGATTCAGATAGAATAGGTATTTACCATCCTACTTGAAATATTTAGGTGTGTGTTGTATCATTCACAAAAATAAACAAAGTATAAAATGAAGGTGAGTAAGGCGACAAACGATCGATAAAATAAGTAAGTGTACAGACATCACAAACAAATCAAGTACATATGTGTACTATAGGTTTTAGATAAATACAAGTAATTACTCTGCGTAAAAGTCACTAAATGCTTGACCAGATTTCAATGACATTTCATAGCTCATTAATGGCTACAAGCATAACTAGATTCATGTACGTCTAAGTGAATAGCATGTGACAGCACAGACTTCAAAAAATTTCATTACATCAGATTCATTAGTAGTTTTCAACAGGCAGTCAGTCAGTAACAATGTAAGACCAGGCACATATATGCATAGGTCCAAGTTGCCATACCTCATTAGCACAAAACGATGAACACCAAATTTATAGAAGTAGTTACTTCAATGGTAGTAATATGTAAAAGAAAAATTGTGTATACAGATATAGTACAGGAAGAAAGAATTAGTCCGTAAAAAGCAACGTATGATTGTGATCGATTCTGATCAATGTTACACAGAGTCTCCAACCATTGGTTACGATAGTCACGCAGACCCCTACCAAGTAGTCTGCATCCACAAACATGGTTCAGTCTAAAAGTTAGTGACTTCAAGCACTGATGTCAAGATTTGGTTCAGCCGCCCCTAACCTAGTTCCAGCCGTCTCCAACATTAGTCGGAGTTGCGAGACGTGGTAATCAGTGTTCAGTCAACTCAACCAACCATCTCAGTTGATGAAGATTCACAACCTCATCAACTGATTTACCATCATTCCCTAATACCATGTGTCTAACCTCACTATTACTTACCCGGTTATCCCACAAGATTCGAGTAATATTTCTGAGACATCTATGATCAAATACTAGTAGCTTACGAGTATCTTCTACTCATAATGACCACGTTTCACAGCCATAAAGTAGGACAAAACGAACTACCGCCCAACATACTCGTCCCTTAGTTGATAAACGGATATCTTGCCTTCGCCACAAGTGATGTAAGTTGACAAAAGCCAAACGGGCTTTCTGAATCCGAGCTGAGATTTCGTCAGACACCAACCCGTTACGGCTGATCGGTCTTGCAAGATAAGTGAAGTTGTCCACGCGTTCGATTACTTCACTCTCTATCTATAGTTCAGGTTATGACACTGACCAGTCCTGAAACAACAACTTACATTTAGAGGGGGAGAAATGCATCCCAAATATTCTGGCACTGTTGCTCAGTGCTACCAATACACTGCATTTTATCAGCGTCTTCACCAAACAGGACTGTGTCATCTGCGTATTCTAAGTCAATAACTGTACCTCCTAGTACGAGATCGATCCTCGAAAATTCAGTCGACGAGAATGTTATTTCCATCAGTAGGTCTATGATGGAGTTAAACAAAAATGGATAAAGTGGACAGCCTTGACGGACACCATTTGAGGTTGCAAAAGCAGATGACAGTTCGCCATAAGCTCTGACTCGACTAGTAGTGTTCGAGTAAAGAGCCTTCACAGGGTTTATGTACTTCTGAAATACGCCTTTCAATGACAGACACTGCCACAGAATCTCGCGGTCTACCGAGTCAAATGCTGCTTCTAAGTCAAGAAAGACCACCATTGTCGGACGCCGATAAGCATGCCTGTGTTCTGGAACCTGACGAATGGTGAATATGTGGTCGATGCAGCCACGACCAGGTCTGAAGCCAGCTTGATTTTCTCGTGTTTGTAGTTCACGAGTCTTAGTTAGGCATCCGATAATTATTGAAGCTAGTATTTTAGATATTATATCAGTCAAACTAATCCTACTATGGTTATCACAGGATGATTTTGACCTTTTCTTATATCCAAATGAGAGAAACACATTATCCTACAAACTATCCATGTTACATAGTGTTATCAGTGTTCAGACCTCAAGATTATAGATAGACCTCCACAAATTGGGGATATAAAATTTCAACATTATTTCGTGGGTGAGGATAGTCTAAAAGTCTATGGTTCAAATTCTAGGTAGCAGCGGTCGCAATACACAACCGACATGCTGATTACACAATCCCAGGAGGCAGGTGAGTCTGTTCCGATTTCGGTTGTTAATTCTAATACTAATGAGTGCATTCTAGATAATAGAGTTTCTATCCAACACAATGTCGGACAGACACATGATGAACTTAAGAAGAGGACGTACAATCGACTAAAGACACTTAGACTCTAATTTAAGCTGTGGCGGATGATGTGTTTGAATGAACTAATGATTACTTTGTACTTGTTGAATGCTTCATTTCTAATTGTAAATACAGTACATTCCTTTGTGGTTATCTAGTACTTCTTGATCCTATTACGTTATTTCTGTGATTCTTAGTTCGTACTATAATTCAAATAATCCTGATTATCACAACTCATTCTGTTAAATAAGTGCGCGATGAATTTCGTGTAATCGAACCTTTACTTGCCATCCAAAATTATACATCAATAGTTAGCCGGTCAAAAATACTACAATCGAAATCCAATAAGGACAGCATAGGATGACTGAGCTACTAACAATCATCGCTTCTTATCAATCATAATTGCATGCATAAATTCACTGTGCATCTATCTTGAAACACTTAGCATCTTTATCGTTTCTTCTTCACTGAGGTCGCTTGCATTCGTGCCTCTCCTGTCTCATTTAATGTTTGTATATTCATGTTGACATTGTCACCATTTGAACGATGTAGTTCCATCTTGACGGATAATAATTTCCTGTTAACGTTTCTAACCTGCGAAAGTTATTGTCATTCATTTAATCGATAACTAACATTGATATTCCATGTGTTCTAATGCATCAATCCAGACTTATTATCAATAGTGACAGTGAATGTTATACATACCATTATTGTTAAATATATTGAGTGATACAAGTTGCAAATGTTGCTTTATTTATGTTTTGAAGTGATCTCTTAATAAATTAAATTTCCTGTTCATTGATTTTCATCGACTGTAAGATAGTCAGTCATAGACAATGTAGAATTTGGCAAATATCTGCATCGGTTCAAGTTCATAAATCATTTAGGCACCACTAGATGAAAACGAATGGTAGAATGGGTGATAGTATCAGTAGTAGTAGAAAATATCGGGCTTAAACAACATGGTCCGACAAGAATAAATGAGACTGTATAATAAACGGTATAAGATCATTTTAAAGTTCAAGATCAAAAGAAAGATAAATATTGAATGTATGTTTCACTGTAACCTTATTCGAGTCAACCCACACAGGCCTCCAACCTTGATCCCGGTAAACGAACGTATGCCAAAGAACAAGTTTGAACCTACTAGCATGGCTTAATCCAATTATCAATGAGTACATGAACTAATCCCATGTCTTGGTTTGAAAGCCTGTAGCTTTCTTCCAACCGACTCCTACAAAAAAAGATTCCCTCACGCTGGGTTTCTTCAAAATAAATATATGATTATGTGCAATCTGATCTGAAACCCCAACAAATAACCCAGCTTTCTGCAGAAATCAAGGTTCGTCATTACAACACATGTAATGATTTTGTGCACCAATTATTTCAACTGTCGATTGATTGTTTGAAATTTGTAGTCAGAGCAATTTTCACAACCATATGATCAAAATAAATCTCTGAGCAAGCGTAAGAGTAACCTCCAATGAATCGCAATATGTTGCTAAATCATGTTGAGATTCTGTGTCACCATCTGTACAATGTGGTTCCATCTTGTCGGATAATTATTTCCTGTTAACGTTTCTAACCTGCAAAAGTTATTGTCTTTAATATCATCGATGACTGACGGACCCATTCAGACTTATTATCAATAGTAACAATAAATCTTATACACACCATTATCGTTAAATATATTGAGTGATACAAGTTGCAAGTGTTGCTTTATGTTTTGAAGTGATTTCTTAATTAATTAAAAGTCCAGTTCGTCGACTGTAAGATAGTCAATCAAAAGCAATCTATACTAAATAAATCTTTATACAAGCGTAAGAATAACCTCCAATGAATCGCAATATGTTGCTAAATCATGTAAGCTAATTAGATGAGTTACATATTCATCACCTTAAGAATTTTTAACCGTGTCAAGGTCACTTTAATTGTACATCCTTTCAATGCTATCGGTCGCTAGGTTTACATTTGCAATCGTATCATACACCATCAACGACCTAATCTCCTTCAGTCTTTCTGAACGGCATTCTTGTTGTTTAATATACCTTACCACCAATCATAATACTATTATTGATCCGACTCATTTGGTTTCAAACTGGTCCATTCCAGTTAATTGTATTGATGTGATATGGCTACTAGGTCACTTGTATATTTGTCTCAGAACAAACATCGGTTATTACTGACTGATCCAATTCTTCAAAGTTCCACAACTGACTATTAACACAATCCTCATGCTAATTCAACCCATCAAGCAGTTTTAATACACTATACACTGGTTAAAAATGAGTAGTTGAAACTATGTCTATCTAATATATATTTTGTGAAAGCGTATGTTCACCCTGACAATCTTTTGCTGCTTGTGAAACACTCAATTATATTCTGAACAACAGCAAAACTAATACAAGTAGAAACATGATAAATAAAAAACACACTTTGGATAGCACAAGTATCACATATTTTATTAAGTATTCATTTGAAGAAATCGTCACAGCCAACCATGAAAAAAGTATGTTGAAACAATACATTAAAAAATCAAGCAAGTATAAAGAAATAGATTAAAGCAAACTCATGAATGTAAACAGTAAATATCGATTGAGCTTCATTTTTCATCTACGTTGCCTGAAACCTCTGAAGCACGTTTACGAGAAGAACCTTCAAACACTGAACCAATTAAACCATGAGCGGTAGTTAACAAATTCACTGGTGTCGTCCCATCTGTAATTAATGTACTTTGTAGGCCCAAAGCGTTCAACATGCGTAGATTATGGTCTGATTCGGCTGTTGCCATTGCACGTAGTGTATCTGCACCTAATGCATTCACCATTGAAATGAAACGCGATTTCTCGATTTCTGTTTCGTCTTCCTTATACTTTAGAGCTAATTCATTCTTTTCCTTGATATAGGCGATCTCTGCAGCTCGAGCCAATTTGAGTCTTTCTAATTCTGCATTCTGAAAATATTGAGATAACGGGATAGGGAAGATTAGATCTGACACCCATAAGTGGAAAACTTTCGAAGCACCAATGCGTCCTACAATCATTATTATCATACTGTAGGATTATTCACATGTGGTCTAATTGTAGAATACGGTGATATGTCTATTAATGGTAGAGGTCGCTTTAAACCGCTAACCATAAATCAACTTCGGTATTTCCAGTAATTTGAGTACATGAAATCCCAGAGATTACATTTGTAAAGAATATTGTTTGGAAAATTTAAGAAATCTTCAAAAACAATGAGGATATGATTACCTTATGAAATTTAACTGCCAGCTCAGCTTTCTTATGTTCTCAAACGTCGATAATAAAAACAAAACGTGACAGCAATTCTGTAAATACATTTTATGTCATTCCTTCTCTCCTCTCATTACATTCTACTACTATATTTCCTCATTTTATTATTGACGTGTTTATCTGGCTACATTTCCAGTCTCTATGTCGCACTGAATGTATTGAAACACAATGACAAATTATGAATACTGAACAATAATTATTGTTTCAAAGTCTCTTCATCGGTTTATCACGTTGAGTTTCATTACAAGTGCATGCAACAAAACCATGTATAATGTTTATGAGCTGAAACTCGAACGAAATCAGTCTTTCACGATATATAATTCAATCTAACATCGAACAAGTTTTCATTACATCCACTTACTATCATGTCAGAAACTATAACAAGACTAACACAAATATGAGTCGCAATTGTAGATAGAGAAAACAAATTGAAAATGTAACTGCAAACGTCCTCACCGTTTCAATAGATAAGGCTTCTGCTCGAAGTTTAGCTTCTTCTACTGCAGCTTGACTGGAAATACGATTCGCCTCAGCTCGACTCTCTGCTTCGGCCTTCGCTTGACTACTACTTTCTAGTGCAGCCAGTTGCACTCGGATTTCAAGCAAATTACGCCTGGCTTGTTCAGCAGCCGCTTCATCCTCAATTCTTTGACGCTCTAACCGACCTCTGGCTTCCTGTTCGAGTCTTTCCGCTTCGTGACTAAAATACAATACCACAGAATAAACTTCACTATCGAATACTTCATTCCCGTTTCTCAGCATGACAATTAAATACCTTACCCCTAGTATTCATACTCGAAATGAAAATTTCAAAACAGACAAAGGTAATGCCCCATTACACATCAACTATACACTATAAACCGGGGAAAAGAAACAGTGAAAACACGTTATATTGTAAAGAAAACTTAACCGACTAACACTACTGACTTCATGCACACCTTAACGAGTATTGTACACATGACTAAACAGTTCAAAATATTTTCCAAAACGAATGCAGCTTGCTTACCGTGCAGCTGCCTCTTGCGAATTGGTCGTTATCTCAATGGCAAGTTGGACTGACTTCTGCAACGAATCCCGAGTTCGTTGATCCACTGGCTCCACAGACTGTACATCCACGCTTGTAATATGCAGGTTATTTTGAGGAAAAACTATTCGATCCCGAACCTTTCCAGCTTCATCCAATCCGAATACGGAGGCACGAATAATTCGTGATGAGTGCTAAATAAAAATATAGAAGAAACGAGTATGGTTCATGACAGTGTTTCCGCTTACATGGGGACTCATCAATCAAATCTAACCAAGTCCCGGCTAGTATTGAAGTTTCTCTTGAGGCTCGAAATCAGTAATCAACACTTACAGTACCAAAATCTAGTTCACAAAACTATCATACCTTTCTCTAAAAAATCTAACTGGCAGTAGAGATATAAGGCTCCCCATCGAAACAAAACCCGTATGATTACGCTAATTTCGTACTCAGACACTGGTGATGTTTTAGCGTTAACGCACGGATTCTGAGCAACTTTTGCGGCTTACCACTAATTTCCTTAAACAAAACACTGAATGAACCATTTTCTATTCTCATAGAAAGTCCTGATCTTTAAGATGTCCTCAACTGACAACCATCACCGTAGCTGTGACCTATCTACCGTCAATATACACCCATTAAAGTCAGAATAACATCGTGTTGACGAGTAACTACTTTGAACGATTCTCCAGAACTACGTCTCTCTTCAAATACAATTACTTGACCGATGCGTATATGTGCTTGGTCCTACGTTGTAGCTGGGTGACTTACTGATTCAATCCTTATTCTTCATCACCAAAATTTATCTTACTGTAAACCAACCAGATCATTTTGATTAAGGAATCTTCTTACTACTCCATTCTATATTTGAGAAACAAGTATGGTGGTACACAATGTGAATATTGAAAGTGGAGAGAATAATACATCATTTAACAAACTTTCTGGGAATCACAATGACTCCTCTCTCCATAAAATTCTACACAGTTCATGTGACACATTTTGTTACAACTCGGTACACTTTCTAGGATGGAGATACAAAACAGTAGTCATTGACAAATAGAAGCTTTAACTCAACTACATAAATAACTGACCAATGTAATACTCATGGTCAACTTTAAGTTTCTTATTAAATGGTACAACACCACTAAGTATGTTTATTTCGAATAAGAGATTGGATTTCAAGTAAATTTTACTGGCTCTCAGACTTGTCCTTACTAGTCTGCATTGAACCATGGTATCTTGAGCATTTTGGAACGAAGATTCTTCAACTCAAGCATCACACATTCAAAAATAGATGCCGAAATTCTAACCGTAAGTAGCTAATTCAACATGAAGATATGACACTCACCAACTACATCACAAAGCACAAAACGCTGACACATTGAATAATGAATTTTGATATGGTCTTTAAGTACCGCATGCATTATGCAAAAGTGCAAATCTACAGCAAAATGATCTGGTCTGATTGTATCACTTTAAGAGTGAAGATTATGACTCCAGAAGGTGAAAGAAACAAGTTACCTTAAAGTGTCCAACCAAGGATCTTTTCAAATCATTGCAAATTTACAGTAACAGAACCAGGTGAGCAATTCTGATGACATTGTGCACATTCATTGATTGAATTGCTTTGTTATAGGTAATGCATGTTCACTGAATACATTGTTGTGCTATGCTGGTTAAAATAGGAGCACAACTGTATAACTAGGTACTGACGTTCAAGTACAAATGCACTGAACAAATGCTATTAGTCGGTGAAGAATTTAAACGACATCGCTCTATATCGGTATCAGTATCAGTACCACACATTCTATCATACTTTAACTTTCCATAGATTCTGAACAACAAACAATTCTAGATTTTCACTCAACCATTCTACTTGTCTTTCTTTCGGTTTCCTACTACACTTGGTATTACTATCTTTCCTCCAATTACTTGTTACTCGTTTATTTATTCTCACTGTGTGTATGTATTCGGTAGTAATTGAATAGATATTCATTCGCACTACATTGTACGTTGTTGCTGTTTATCTTCCCACCTCCGAAAAACTCAGTCAAGTTTCTAAGATATGTTTACTAAACGTTTCTGAATAGCTCTCGTCCGCGACAACATGCTAACAAAGGGTGTAAAGCATATATGTTGTTGCATGAAGTTTGGTCATATCACTCTCTTATCACTAAGAGTCACAATCACACTACAACTTAACACCACAAATCAATCCTTCATTTAGATATCGCAGTAACTAATAATGTCTCTAACAAAACGTATACAGTTGCTACGAGAATTTCGTGAGAAGGCACCTAAACGATTGACGATTAATTGAGGCTTCATCCACCTGCATACATTTGCAATATGATCAGTGTACTGATCCAATAAAATCACTAGACTCTAAAATGATAAACCTTACCTTATGAAAATCATCGAATTGGACAGATGCAACAGTGCCACGAACACGAGATGCAATAGCTTTACAAGCATCTCCAACAAAATCAGGTACTGAAAATAACTTAGCAGCATCGGCTGCACTGCATGATGGAGAGACATCGAACACCCAATTGTACGATAGTTGCAAAGACAAGCGAGCATGGTCCGCAGTTTCAACAATTACAACATCGGTACAAAAATCTGGACCTAACAGTAAACATAGACTTTTAATCACATTCGGTTTCTTCGGTTTCCCACCACTCAGGCTCAAACGAGTAAATTGTTCATCCGGTCCTAACATAGCTAAATTTGGTCCAAACTCGACTCTTGCCCTTTTATTTTTATAGTCATAAATTTGAACTGCAGCATTGTGTGGAACACGGAAAGTAACTACACGAGTTGGGTCAAGACGGTTAACTGAATCTGGAGGAGATCGAACTCCGCGGTCAGCAAATGGGTCAATATTACTTTCGAGCAACTGAACAACCTCAGGTGGGAGTTTCTTCTCCCATAATTCTTCATCTTGATTTAACATATAAGCTTCACCAATAACAGCACGAACTTGTCCTGTTTGCATATTACGAACATAGATCCCTTCATTACAATCGAGAGGAATTACATTACGACGGTCTATCACATCCACTTCGACAGGAGGTATGTATTCGATGGGTCCGCGTAACATCCACCGATCACCAGGACGACGTATCTAAAACCAGTGAGGTGTTAAATAAAATCAAAACACTAAGTATGGTAGTATTCAACTTAGCAGGGTAAACATCTCTACCAAATAATAAATATTTCTTTAATAAATTAGTGCACACTGAAGAGAGGAAACAATCACAACGAACGGGAAAATAATAAGTGGATTGATTCGAACTGGATCAACAAAATAAACACAACAATAACATCTTGAAAAGGCGAGTTCCAATTAATTTCATGAATATTAAAACACCGAAATGGCAGGACTAACATGTTGAATCTCCGCCATTCGTAAATATTCGATCACCAGACGAGCTCGAGAACTCCGTATGCTAAAGTTACTTATCTTCGCATATTGCGTTTCATAAACTACATCGCGAAGCCAAACAATATACTAATAATAAGGGATTTTACTAATCAAATTTCATACTACTGGAAATCTAAGTTCCATGTAACTTAATAATCAAGTACAAGTTCATATACTCAGACTTGAGTCACATTGTTTTGTAAAAATGCTTATTATGCTACTTGGCTGGTGGAATTCCAACTCAAATTCGAACAATCAAATCTTTCTACATATGAGGCACAACTCTACATAGTAACATACGCACACATTACCTTAATTATTAGCACTATGCTCTTATATGAATTGTCCTTTCTCCTAGTCAGCCCTAGCATCGATTGATTCAACAAATTACGTAGGAGGTATGCAACCAATTTATCAACACCAAGAACCGCAATCCAGTAAAGTGAACAAACTATAGTTTCACTGACACGCAACACATGCAAAGTCAACATCCGATTCCTCATTAACTATTCAAAACAACAAACCACAAATTCAAATTGGTGTTTAAACTTTTCTAGACTTATGACCATTTTAAGTGAGGTAAATATTAGAACAAATAGACCTGGTTGGCAATACAAATTAGAAACTTACACATTTCTGCTTTACAGAGTCCCCCTCAGATATAGCGTCCCCACATATATCGTCAACAAACTGTTCTTTAGCTCGAAGAATAAGGCCTTCGTCGTTCTGCAAAATATAAGCATCTTGAACTCCCGTTTCCAAATACTCTCCTGGTCTCAGAAAGAATGACTTCTCACCACGTACTAATAATTTTCTCCCTAACTGAGGAACACCGTTCTCATCCCAAGGGTTGACTACCACACAAAACTGATGGACACGTAGGATTGTAACATCAACCTCTTTCACAAACTCCTCAAGTGCGCTGCAAATGTGATACTCCGCATCTTCATGTGTAATTAACCACTCTTCACCAGCTTTGCGATATTTCCCGAACTTGTCACAATGAGACTTAACAGCTTTGACACATATCGCTCGCTGAAAATGAATGATAACGTTGACTAAATAAAATATTCAATTGTCAGACCAACACATAATTTTAGAAGCATTATAACTATCCGTACAGTCTTGGCCCCACGTTGTCGAACAAAGGCATGCACAGACATATATATCATTCAGTCAAATACACAATACATTACCTATGTAACATACGGGGTGTCAACAAACAAAACACCAATTCTAATTTAAAGGCCTTCATGTCGGGTATCTTTACTTGAAAGTACGTTTGAAAGTTGAGACCATTGTTTTCATACAAACTTTGATAATCTTTGTCTACTTTTTGGAGGAACACCGACGAACAGTAACTGTTCTACAACGTCAAATAAAAGCCTGTGCATGATTGAAGAGATGGCAGACTTCGTACGACTTAAACTTTGATTTTTAAACCACTATCTTTTCCATTCCGTTTGGTTTGCGTGAACTCATTACCATAACCTTCTAACGCGAAGCGCACGAAATCCGATACATGTAAATAATTATAGAATGCATATCTCCAAATACATCATGTCGATGGCTTTTAGATTTCTGTAATACGTTTTATAAGTTGGTTAAACAGAGGAACAGATTCATCACCGTTTTGCATCGGTTTAAAAACAATAACAGTGTTTGGTAACGCCTAGTAACAGAATCCAGAATGCACGTTCCTTCTCATTTGGGACTCATCAGATTTAAAACGCTCGTGACTTAGTTCCAATATAAAGCCAATCCGATCAGGAGGCATATATGCTAGAGGGACTGATCTATTGCAGTCCTGAACATCAACAACGGGACGACTCAAACTCGGACAAATAGAAAAGAATAACATGATGTCATACTCATCACAAAAGTCAGTAATATATAATAATAAGCAAAGAATATCTCATTCTGTGGACAGTAGTTTCATAAACAAATATACAGAAATTTACTCTTCTGACCAGTAATCACGTCTACACAGGTTTACACCGACTAATTTTAGTCTCATTACCACAACTTGGTGAAGTATACAACCAGAATATGAGCAATCAGAAAATAGCTAGTTACAAAAGGTTACCTAATAGTTCACGTACTCTGTCTGTTAGTGTAATCGCTTTGCGTTCGTCGACAATTTGCTCATAGACACCAGGGAGGTATGCACCTGGTGTCGTCACTAACCATCGTTCACCGTAAACACGAGGAACACCACCTCGATCGACGCAGTCTTTCGTGGCCTCCATTACAAGAGCAGAGTTGACAAGAATTACTTTGGCTTGCTCGCATTTTATGATTTCAACCTCTTTTCTAGGGTAATAGGTACCTACAGAGGAAAACAAAAGAAATCCACATACAAGTTATACCAACTACATGAATAAAACAAGTTTATTTAAATATTTAAATGGAGTCGGTTTGTTTTCTTTCACTTACATATGGTCAAAACATATATAAAAAACACGAACTTTGATAGCAGCAATTTTAAAAGTCATATGGAAGCATGTACAACTCCTAATTTATAGCACCTCAACTAAGTTCGATACACCGTCTTAACAAGTTCAAATAAAAACAGACACAAAGGCAACTAAACTAATTGTAAGCAGGATCTAGCTACTGTCGACAGTTATCAAGAATTTGTGATTCGATTTGTCCACCTCAGAGAATCCACTGTCTGGTAATCAAAGACCGATAACTGTACCAAAGTAATACTTCCCAAGATTTAGTGTATTCTAGAAAAGTTGAGTTGGTGATTGACAGATGGTTAATCTAGTCATCACATTTAATAACCACGAGTTCCCGAACCCACAATAAATTACCAGGCAATTCAGGTTTCTTCTGGCCTACAGAAAGTGAATCTTTTCACTAGACGCATGGCACCTAACTTCGACGAGCAAAAGTGAGTAGAGTCTGGAAAAAAGCTGTACACCAGCGCTCCTGTACACAATTAAATTTATCTTGTATGTAGGATGAGTAATTAGCTTAACATAAGACTGTACTATGACACCTTTTGATCCGAATATCTATGCGTCAATATAATGTAGTCACAGTATGTGTGGAATATACTTACTACAAAGGCGAAACGTTTAACAATTCTACATACAGAACAAACAGCTAGGGATCAAAACAATTCGAAACCCTATAACAATCAATGTGAATGAAACACTCAGTTACTCAATCAGTAATTAAGACAAGCAGATGTTTCAAGAGTTCAAAACCGTTCGTCATACTTTCTCGTTGTGTCAAATATTCTAAACAGCCGAAACTTGCTTCTGGCAGTTTTCACATCCACGACTATGGTAATAATATCCAGGTCGAATAAATTGTTTCCAAACCAACCACTGATCAACCGGGAAATAAAATACTTACCAGGTCCTTCAAACAACCATTCCTCTCCAGCTATTCGATTAACGTTTCCATCTTCGAAATCCGAAACGGCTCGTAATCTGAGTGCCGAGTTTGGCAGAACAACAGGTAGAGGCCTAACGATATCCTTTAAAGCTTCACCTGGATACAATGGGAAAGGGTCTTGGGCGAAACGGTACTCCTCGTCACCCATTCGAACTTTAACCTGTCCATATTTATCGACTACTGGAACACCATCTTTGTCTGTTATAACAGGGTTTCGAATCACACAGTACATCATCGTCGGGACGACAGTTAGTTCCTCAGGTCCGAGAACAATCCTAAGAAATGATAGGTCAATAGTAAGCGAACTCACTTTTCATCCTGTTGGCAAACATATGTTTTAGGTCCAACAACAAGTGAGGTGACATGAGTATTCAAGTTTAGCACATGAATATAATGCCTCGGACTTATTGAAATAATCGGTGAGTCTGGATTAGACTTCATCTTGAACCTTCAAATATTTTAGTTAGGGGCATAATGCTAATTACTTACCACTAAATTTGTGGAGTAGTTTTCGCTGTGAAAAGGCAGAACTCTATGTTGAGTATCACGACCTATGTAGCAAGAAAATAAAAACAGAAAATCTGACTAATAGCGTAGAAACATTGAGAACTTTGGCCAATGCTTTGACTTAATTTTACATCAACATATTTCACTATGGACAATCTGTACCTAAGTGTTTTACAAAATCATAATCCATTCGTCAGGAAAACCCGGTATTCCACTATGTCGGAAAACAAAAAGTAAGTCTGACACCACAATCTAGACCAGAAGAGAAACTGAAATTTGAGTTAACTAGGTTCGGGTGGGTTATGAACAACAACATCAACAAACTTACCTTAGTTTTTATGTATGTGGTGATTCACTTTACTTGAGATCTGTGTAACGTTCGTAGCACAGACAACTACAGAGCTCTTCAATATAGCATAGAACAGGCTACCAGATGTAAGACTAAGCCGATAAAATTAAGATGGAGCCAAACCAACACGCGGGAGCAGTTTATGAGCAACTGATAGTTTAACTAAACCACATAAATAGGTGTAGACTGCCTGTTTGGGGTCCGTTTGATTATCATAATCAATGGTTAAGCTTTGGTGGATATGGCTCAGAATCGCTCGCGGTCGCACAGGTGCATTTACTTCCTGTCTTCCTTTAGAACCTTAATCCTGAAATCTCATGACACTTCGTTCATATACTTAATATTTTCTACCGCCATTACTGCTACTACTACAACTACTGATACTGTTACTACTTCAATTACTCTCCGATATCTTGATAATTTTACTTCACTATGCTAATGTCGTATAGCGACTCGAACCGACGCACGCGTTTCAGGTCCCATGTTGCAAATGAGTGACTTAGTATTTCATTCCTTTTAATATATGTTAAATGAATGAGCCAGTGGGCTTACAGATGGATAGAGAACGAATAATATCCTAAGAACTTTATTTTTTTGGTCGATCACGTACAAAGACTCGGAATGGTCAATTCACAACTTTAAATCCTCATGACACAGCCTTAACAACAAAATTCAATAAAGTCTCATCGTCCGACTAAAAACGAAAGACATTTGCTGAAAACTGGCATACAAAACATACATAGTGAAATATTCGGTCAATATACTGTCTGGTTTAAACTATGAATTCATGTACTGGTTTATCCTTTGCGGAACCTCATATAGCTGACTGTGTGAAGGTCAAAACAAAAAACCTTACAAACACAAATTCTCAGATCTTTGTTACTTCATTCAGGAAGTTTCCATATACTGATAGATTACTGTTCAGACTAACTACTTAACATTGCGAAGCAACAATCAACCACTTGCATCGTTAGTAAACAGAGAATGTTATGAATGTTATTTATTAAAGATCAGATGATACTGCTCCATGATTGAAATCGGCAAGCTAGGCACTAAGATGTGTTTCGAATCTGAGAAATACGGGACAAATGATTTCTTATTTATATTAGGTCTGTATACAGATCCACAACACACGCCTCTTCCATGCACGTCTATATCGATAAATATAGTTAAGTCGGTAATCAGGAACTTAGGCAAAATGAGTGCGATTTTCAGGAAACTGGAAATACTTTAGCTTTCGTGTTCTACATATTTGCTGACAGTTCAATAGACGAAAAGTTAAAGAATTAAAAAATCAGTGATCATTAGTGAGGGAAATTATTAGAGCAACAGTGGGAATCGCTTAAGATTTTCAGATGATAAGTAAATCTAAATGGCATTTTTGTGTCTTATAACTCAATAACAACAACTGCAAACACAACTTCCCTCAATTCTACCATACATAAGTGAAAAACACTATTATTCTTAGCAGTTGCTACTAGCCTCTAAGAATAATAGGGGGTCCAACCGCAGACAACACACTACAGTTGTGTAGTGAGCAACTCGAGTTGCTCACCGATCGATCGATCAGTTGGTTGGAAGTGCAGTTGGAGTAAATCTCCCGATAAGATCCGTGTATATTCCCAGCTAAATTAGCTGCTAACTAACTGCAACTGCCCAATTAAAGGTAGTGATACAACAAATCAGTCAATAATCTCAAATCAAATATGACTCCTATCTTACCGCGTTGCTACAGCTATCATGATCAAATTACCGCGTGAGTCGCACGAGATAATTTCAGTTAAGACCTTGACGTACGTGCAAAAAAACAAGCGAGAAAATATATTTGAAAATAGACTACTTGTATTTTCTCTAACTATGAAGACATAATGCACCTTACGTGGTGTGTTTTTCTGTCCAGAGGTACACACATACAGAATTTCACATCGTTTCATCAACTCTTCAGTCTTCAGTAATAAGGATAGTAGGTTGGTGAATTTGTGTTAATCCTGACAGACTGCCTTCCAGTGAAGGTCCAGCTTCTCCTTGAAAACTTTTACTGGTGAAGTTGATACTACTTATTCGGGTAAAGCGTTTAAGTCAATGACTACTCGATGAGAAAAACGAAACCCCACTTTATTGATTCGCCTTTTGTGGACCTTCTTGTTATGACCTTGAAGACTATTAGTGCTGGAGTTAGCAAAAAGATAGGACATATTAACACCCAAGGCATAACTAAATATACGAAATGCTAGTATAAGGTCACCTCGCGTCCTGCGATGCGACAAGGTGAAAAGGTTTAGCCATTTTAGGAGTTTATCGTAAGGAAGTTTAGAAAGACCCTTCACTTATTTTATTCCCACAAGCTAAACACGCTCAACTAAGTTAGTATGTTATATCAATCATGGGCCAGCTGCTTGGATACGGTACTCTAAATGTGGTCTTAAATAGGTGTGATATAAAATTCGAAACAAATCCTCGTCGAAGCATTTGAATGTTCTGCGAAGTGACATAACGCACAAAAACCTTCTGCAGCAGCTGGTTTGCGATGCTTAGTTGTTTTCAAGTCATGAATTATCATTAATTCTAAGTCCTTATGTTCTTGAATGCGTGAAACAGTTGTACCATCAACAGTATACTGGTAACTAATACCGTATCCGATGTGCATGAGAACACTTCCTAGAATTAACTTCCAAGCCCAACTCCATCCCCATCTAACTAATTTATCTAAGTCAGCTTGAAGATCAAAATGATCAGCCTCTCTTCTTATTGTTTTCCAGATTTTTACATCATCTGTAAACAATAATGTCCACGACATAAGCAAGAGAGGTAATTCATTTTCGTAGAGAAGGAAAAGTAGAGGGCTTAAGATAATGCCTTTGGATACATTCCTTTTGGACAGCTTCGATTTAGATAATGTTCCATGGACCTTCACTCTCTGTCTGCGATCACATGAGAATTTTCCTATTCATTCCTGTACAGCATCTGTTATTCAGAAGCTCCAGAGCTTCTGCATAAGACTTAAGTTTGAAACCTTGTCAAATGCCTTGCTAAATTCTATGAATATCACTACTGGTTAGATCCATAAAACTCCTCGAAAAAGCCGAGAAAGGCTCTGAAAACATCGAGAGGCATATTATGCAATCAGCGCTCACTAGAAGATCTGCCAGAAACATCAAGAAAGTGAAAACTCGAATGTGGAGTTTCTGATTGGCTGATTACTATACTGCTACCATGTTTAGTAGCATTCCAGAATCTTCGGGAAACCCAACGACATCCAAAATACTATGAAAAGCCCTATATTTTGTGTGCTAAAACGAACCTTTGGAGTGAAGTGCTTCTCGCATATTTTGTGCCTTTTCTCTTGTGTTCAGGTCGCTGTGTAGTTCTAGCTTGGGGGTTACTAGGAGAGCTTAGGAACCGAATATAGAGTTCAGTCAGCAAACTTATCAGTGGCGACAGGAAAACTACAGTGAGCATTTCTTTGGAGCAACTAGAAACTTATATGGAGCATCAAGAGAAGAACTTTGAACAGTCTAAAATCAGGATCATGGAAACCCTTATGCAGAATTTGTCCTTGTCCCAGCAAATCATTGCTTCTGGTGAATCACAAGTACCCCATACTGATCCAGTCATTAATGCCATCCGTGAATTTAGTTTTGATAGTGTAGCAGGTGTAACGTTTTTTTTGGTCTAAGAAATATTAAGATTTGTTCTATATTTGTCACTATAGACTGTATTACGCCTCAAAAGTCAGAATACTTCTAAGAAAACTGAACTTTATAGTAACTTTATTCTCCCGAAGAGCCCACGAGACTTTAGTTTTGATGGAACAATTAAAACCCTGTCAAAAATCTTCGGAGAAGAGTCATTTCTATTTTATATCCGTTACCAATGCTTGAAGATAACGAAAAAACCAGATGATTTGGTGAAACATGCAGGAATTGTGAATCGAGAATGTAAAAGGTTCATGTTGTCTTCCATGAATGAAGACCGGTTTGTCTGTAGCCTGCTTTCACCCGAAGATGCTGACATCCGAACAAGAATCCAACATGACCCTGCAGGAAGCAACTACCGAACGACAAAGGTTAGTGAATTTGAAGCATGATACCTCAATGGTAGAGAACGATAACCGGTTCCTTCACGTCAGTGCAGACAAGAGAAACGTTTTACAAGGTTTCAGCACGCAAAATTATCGTAATGACAGCGACAAACCATCATTCCTATGCTGATTATGTGGTCGTTGGCATTTCAAAAGGTTTCCTCTGTTTAAGAATCACTGTTGTACTACGTGTTCCAGAAAAGGGCACAAAGAAGGTCATTACGAAACCCGAAAACGCCGTCAACCAGAAATGTATTCTAAAAGATTCAAGTCACAAACAGCTAAAGTAACGGTAGCTCTACACAAAGCCGGCTCTCATAACCGTAGAAAGTATGTTTCTGTCAAGATCAAAGAGTATGATGCTCGCTTACAGTTAAACACAGCCTCCGATATAACTCTTATAAGCAGGAGAACGTGAGAGACATTTGGGCGACCGAGAATATATTCAACATATCAATCAGCACATAGTGCATCCCAGGAGATTTGTAACAGCTTAGTTTTGTTGGTTAAAAGTTGACCTCAAACAAGCAAGCATATGCCAAAACAGTATAGTTCAAGTATAAATTCACTTCTTTATTTTGCATAGGCGTTATATTCCCTATTATCTTACATTGAATGTTGAGAGGCTTTGTTTGTCTGAGCAAATAATCCCATGCTCCACTGTGACTTCTCTAAGAGCGAAATAAAGACCTACTCACTACTTGTCTGGTTTCTCCTATCAATAGCACGAGGGTTACCTAAAGGCATGGAACCGGTGAGCTCGACATGATATTGATAGAAGAACCCAGACAAGTAGTGAATAGGTCTTTACTTCGTTCTTAGAGCAGTCACAGTGGAACATAGGATTATTTGCTCAGACAAACAAAGCCTCTCAACATTCAATGTAAGATAATAGGGAATATAACGCCTATGCAAAATAAAGAAGTGAATAAATACTTGAACTATACTGCAGTTTTGTTGGTACCACTGGAAGTTTGGTAGCAACTCAACCAAGTGCCTGCAACCAGACGCCTGGCCTAAGCATATTTCCAAGACAGCGGGAAAAGAGTAACCCTTCGCCAGGTCGCGACGACTGAGAGGAGGCGCCTAAACAGTCGCTTGTTTTATGTTAAAGACGGAAACTCTAGCTTGAATTTCTTGGTGGATACTGGCGCTGCTCTTAGCATCATCCCTCAAAATAAAACTGAGATTAGTCGAGAAACATCTCCAATTACACTTTAGGCTGCAAATAAAGCTAAAATCGCGACATTTAGGAAGAAAACTTTAACCCTAGATTTGAGGTTTTCACGGTAGCCGACCTAGATCTGGCAATACTGGGGATGGACTTTCTAGAGAGATACGAATTCCTAGTTGACACTAAAAAACGGCGATTAACACTGAAAGGAACTTCGAATTACACGAAAGGCACAGAAATTCATATCACATCTCTTAACTTGATTCAAACTCCTCCAGTAACAACAGCGAAATTCCAAGATATACTCGCGGAATTTCCAAACATAACTAAACCAAACCCACAGCCTTCCAAAGACGAACTAAAAGTAAGCCATACTATCAAAACCGAAGGTGCATCGGTGTTTCCAAAACCCAGGAGACTAGCACCAGATAAGTTCAAAATCGCCAGGGCCGAGTTCGATTATATGCTACAACTGGGTATTATCCATCCCTCTGATAGTCAATGGGCATCCCCTTTGCATATGGTCCCAAAGAAGAATGAAGGCGACTGGCGACCGTGCGGGGAATACAGGGCCTTCAACCGCCGAACTGTACCAGATAGGCACCTAATACCGCATAACCAAGATTTCACAAACAGTTTACAGGGTATAAACATATTCACTGAAATTGGCTTAGTCAGGGCATATCACAATAGCCCGGTGGCTGATAAAGATATCCCCGAGACAGCTCTCACTACACCTTTTGGCTTATTCGAGTTTGCACGCATGCCGTTCGGCTTGAGAAATGCGGCGCAGACATTTTAAAGATTCATAGATAACCTACTTCGAGATATGCCATTTGCGCAGGAGTATATAAACGATTTGTTAATTGCCAGCCCCGATTTACAATCACACGAACAGCATGTACGAGCAGTGTTGAAAAGACTAGATGAACATGGAATAAACATACATCAAAGTAAGTGTGTTCTCGGTGTTCAAACTTTAGAATTTCTCGGTCACACAATAAGCCCAGAAGGAATTAAACCTATCAAAAAAGAAGTGGATACTATCAAACAATACCCCGTACCTAGTTCTCTAACACAACTGAGAAGTTTTCCAGGCCTAATTAACTTTTATCGCAGATTTATACCAGGTTGTGCACAATTAATGCAACCTTTGACAGATTCACTCAAAGGAAAACCGAAAGAATTCAAACTGTCTTCTGACGCCGTCGAAGCTATTAAACAGCTTAAAGATAAACTGGCTCAAGCAACTACGTTGATGTATCCGAATTCTTTTTCCACACTTGCTTTGATAGTGGGTGCTTCAGATAAAGCAGTGGGCGGTACCCTTAACCAATTGGTTAAAAACGCCTGAAAAATTGCTTTCTTCTCGAAAAGACTCGCTACAGCTGAGACAAGGTATTCTACCTTCGGGCGAGAATTTCTTGCAATCTACCTGACCATTAAACACTTCCGACACATGTTAGAAGGTAGGGAATTTTTAGTTTTCACGGATCACAAACCACTAACGAA